AGGCTGGTCTCAAACTCCTGAGCTCAAACAATCCGCCCGCCTCGGCCTCCCAGAGTGCTAGGATTACAGGCGTGAGCCACCGCGTCCGGCAATGAACATTTAATATGGTGCCTGGCACAGAAAACTCTTCATATGCATTATCTCATTATTCTCATAGTTACTCCATTCTGGAGATGAAAAAATTGAAATTTAGAAAGATTAACTTGCCTGGGGCACAAAGATAATGGCAAGATCAGAAAGCAAAACAAGGAAGTCAAATTCAAGAACCTTGGTATTAATTACAACCCTGCATTCATTCTGGAAGTGAAATTCTACCAATTTAATATTATAATGTCTAAACAGTTTCCTTAACATAATATTTTTAAAAAATGGGATACAGACTACATAATACTCTTTGGCAACAAGTCATGCACATGCACACCTCCCCCTGCCCTTCAGCAAGTGACATTCTGCTATTTTAATGTAAATCTTTATTATTTTACATTGCTACCTAGTATTCATTTTACTTGTTAGACACATGGGTGGTTCCTCCAACCCTTTAAAGAAAAATTACAAACAATACTGCAACATATGCCCTTGTAAGTCTACCTTGGTATGCTTATGCAAAGACTTCTAGCAAAGACACCTGCATTTTAACAGATATTCATGAACTGCCCCTCTAAAGGCACCCACAATCAACAGTGTACAAGACACCTGTTTACTATACCCTGCGAACAACTTTTTCATTCTGATAATAAAATAAATATAACCTTTTTGTTTTATTTTTATTTCTTTATCATTGACAGTGGCTAAACATATTTTCATGTATTTATTGTTCGCTCTCTTCTGATAATAAATTGCTTAATCTATCATGGTATTCTGCACCCTCCCCAAGATTATAGTTTGTCTCCTGATTTTACGTGTTATCCACACTCTCATATAGAATTTTTACATTTTTAGGTATTCCAGTCTATCATCTTGCTCATACTTTCTAGGTTTCATATCAAGTTTAGGCTTTTTCATTCTCCATGACTATAAAAATATCAATTAATTTTTCTACCTAGTACTTACAGTTTTCATTTTTTACATTTAAATCTCTGATTACATACAGAATTTACTTTAATATAAACAGGAAATTCAGCTTTTTAACTCTTAATGGTTCGTCATCCCAACATCATGAAAAAAACTTTTTTTTTTTTTGAGACAGAGTCTCACTGTGTTGCCTGGGCTAGAGTGCCGTGGCATTAGCCTAGCTCACAGCAACCTCAAACTCCCGGGCTCAAGCAATCCTTCTGCCTCAGCCTCCCCCCAAGTAGCTGGGACTACAGGCATGCCCCATCATGCCCAGCTAATTTTTTTCTATATATTTTTAGTTGTCCGATTAATTTCTTTCTACTTTTAGTAGAGACAGGGTCTCGCTCTTGCTCAGGCTGGTTTCAAACTCCTGAGCTCAAACAATCCGCCCGCCTCGGCCTCCCAGAGTGCTAGGATTACAGGCGTGAGCCACCACGCCCGGCTGAAAAAAACTTTTAAATAAGTACTGTCTTTAATATACAAAGATGCTAATCTACCATAAGTCAATTTATTGCTTTTCTAATTCTGATGATGGATTTATATAGATTCAGGTATAGTCACAATTGTGAGATAGCTTACTGGATTAGGAATATGAAATATGAGAAGAAACTGAGAATATAGGGGCCATAAAATATCTAATTTCACCTCAAAAATATTTGTTTTATATTATTCCCTGCAGTCTCAGGTAAGAAATATTTTCTCATTATTTCAAAAACAAAATCTACTCTATTGCATTCCATTCCTTTTGGATGTAAGAAGGACTTTGTTTCAACACTAAATGCCTGCTCTTTTAGTACCTTCCCTCTAATTTACTGGTGGCTCTTCAGCCTTCACACTTACATTAAAAACATATACAAGACTGTGTTTTCTTGACCCAACTGCCTCTTATTGTTCTTTTCAATCTTTTCTTTTATTGAAAATGTATTTTAAACGTTTCATATCATCTATTTCCTTTTATAATTCCCTAGTACCCAGCCCCTCAAGTCGAAGGCTCAAAATTATTCAATGGCCGGTGTAAAGATAACAACAGTTTTCCTAGCTCTCCTGTACCTTTACTGTGGTATCTGTTCTACTTAATACTTCTAACCCTACTTCAAAACTCTCTCTTTAACATCCATATCCTTTGGAAGTTTTCAAATGAAAATCAATCTTCCTACTATGAAACTGTAGTAAAGAAAACAACAAAACAATGATTTTATTTTACATAATTATCTTCTTACCTTGATCAAACTGCTTTTGAATATTGTCTTGATCAGTTTTGTTCCCGCTAACACGGTAGAGTCCTTCAGTACATAATCCTAAAAAACAAATACACATGCTTTTATAAACACATATATATCTATTACAAAGAATGTACAATCTTACATACAACTAACTTAGAAAAATACGGTGGCAAAATATTTTTAAGAATAAAATATTTTTTGAGCATTTTAAAAAAGTTAATAGACTTTCTATTTTAAACCATTTAGGACATTCAATTCCAGACAAGATGAGTAGACGTATTTCACCCTATTCTTCCCACTAGATCAGGCTAAAAACACTAGACACAATATATTAAAATCAAACATAAGAAGTCTCTGAATGGTGGAGAGAAGACAGACTGGTTAATGACCTTGAAACTTCAAGAACAACATGACAGCAAATTCCCTGGGTTTTTTTTTTTTTGGCTTCTTATGTATCCTGACCGGGCAATGGAGGAGCCTGCAATCCAGAAACACCAATGAGCAAATGCAAAAAAAAAAAAAAAAAAAAAAAAAAAAAAAAAAAAAAGAAAATCCCCAAAACTAACAAAACAAAAACCAACAAGAAAAGCCTACTCTCTCTAGTGAAAGGATTGGAAAAGATGCAGCCTATTAAGACAAAACCTACTGATTTAATGTGAAACTATATTCTGAGATCCACTTTTGATGAACTTTTCCCACCTTTCTTCTTCCACTTCTCTTTTACATTACCTACATACGCTACTTACAACATGAACTAAATTTGTCCTGACTTTGTGAATGTACACGTTTATAGAATGAATTCTTCTTGTTACTCCACGTCTATACAGTCCAGGTAAAACATTTCTTCCTCATTGATACCTTCTCTGCTATCCCCAATTTGAAGCAATTTCTTCTTCCTTTGAACTCCCACAGTACTTTACCTATAGCTCTATTACCACTTAAGTACTTTCTATGTTGTACTACAGTGAAACACTCAGCAGCAAATTTCCTACAAGTCATAGCAGTGCCTTTCCAACCTCAGGGGTCTTTACACAGTGCAATGGTTCTCAGCTGGGGGCATACTGCACCTCAAGGAACACTTGGCAATGCCTGAAGATATCTGTGGTTGGCAGAACTGGAGGAGGGGGAGCTACTGTCATCTTACAGGTAGAAGCCAGGGATGCTGCTAAACATCCTAGAATATACAGCCTGTAACAACAAAGAATTAAATAGCCCCAAATGTCAATGATGGTGAGGTTGAGAAACTCTTACACAGTGAAAAATGTTATGTTAAATGAAGATTATAAAGTACTTAATTATCCATGCTAAAAATCTTGCCTTTTGCTTGCTAATAACTAAGTGATTTGAAAAAACAGAAACACCAACTCAATTATTTAAATGTAAATTATCCACATTTTACTTAGACTTAAATTACCCAAAGTATCTATCCCAGACCTCAAACAATAAAGGGATTAAACATCTATCTCAATATTCCAAAACTAAATATAAAAATTTAGATATTTAAAATATTACCTTTTAACTGAGTAGCATCATTTTTTTCCTTTCATTAGAAAAGGTCATTAACCATTAAGTATTAAGGGTTAATAAGCACAGTATTACTGGTATCTGAAGTTTTAAAATGGTCTAAGTTCTATTTGAGTTGCTAACAGACACAAAACTAGACTTTCACTGCCTGTTTCTTTATACCTTCGGGATGAAATCATTATTTAAGTCATAGAGACTACCAAAAAGGGTCAGAATCAACTTTTGTACAACTCTGGAATCTAGCTAAACAACAACCAGAAGTAGTACTGGTGAAGAAAGCAACTTTAAATTACCTATCTACCATTACCCACACCCCAGATTGGTGACAATCATGAGGATAGCAGCCAACAATCTGGGTGCAGGTTACAATTGCCAGAGGAAGCAACATGACCTTATTCTCAAAGAACTGTGGTTGCAGATTTCGACCTGTCTGGTGGCTCCCTGAAAGAAGACTTAGAAAGTACTTTTTTTCCTTTGGTTCCAGGCATTTAGGGAAACTAATAAATCACTAGTTAACCACTGAGCTAATGGAACACAGACTTCAGCAGCAACAAATAACAAAGAATACAGACTTTACAAAAATAAGTTTACAGAAGTCATTAAATAAGCAAACAACATAATCAACAAACAACAAAAATAAACCCAGGTGAGGGGAAAGAATCTGATTTCCAGGGTTTTCATATTATAATATTCAAAATGTCTTATTTTCAACAAAAAATTAAGAAGCATGCAAAGAAACAAGTATGGTTAGCTGCAGGAAAAAAAATAAATTAATAGAAACCACCCACAAGGAAGCCCAGCCATTGCACTTATTAGACAAAAACTTTAAATCAATTGTTTTAAAAACTCACAAAGAGCTACAGGAAACCATGAACAAAAAACTAAAGGAAACCCGGAGAATGATGACTCAACAAATAGAGAATATCAATAAATATAGCAAAATTATAAAAAAGCCCTAAAGAGAAATTGTAGAGCTGAAAAGTATAATAAATGAAATGAAAAATTCATTAGAGAGGTTCAACAGCAGATTTGAGCAAGCAGAAGAAAGAATCAGTGAACTTAAAGGCTGGTTAATTGAGATTATCCATACTGAAGAACAAAAAGAGGAAAGAATGAAGAAACAAGAAAAACAACTATCCATACAAGGAATCTTCAGAAACTATGGAGGTTAGAGGGCAGTGGAATGATATATTTAAAGTGTTAAAAGAAAAAAACTGGAAGCCAAAAATTCTGTATCTGGCAAAATCATTCTTCAAAAATGAAGGAGAAATGAAGACATTCTCAGATAAACAAAAGTTGAGAGAGTTCATCACTAGTAGACAAGCCCTATATAAAATGATAGAAAGGGAGTTAAGGAAGTTCTCTAAGCTGAAATGAAAGGGCACTAGAAAATAAGCTGTACCAAAAAAACTAAGTAACAAAGTTAAAGACTGCTAGACAGGTAAGTATATACGCCAATAGTAGCACTACATTTTTGATATATACCTCCTCTTTTTGTTCTGATATGATTCTAAAAGTACATAAAACAATAATTATAAATCTTTGTTAATGGGCAATGTATAAATATAATTTGTGACAATAACATAAAGGGGTGTGAGACTGACGCTGTAAAGGAACAGTTTTTGTATACTTTTGAAATGAAGTTGTTTTTAATTAAAACATGATTGTTATAAAGTTAAGATGTTAATTGTAATCTCCAGGGTAATGACTAAGAAAATAATTTAAGATCTTCTATTAAAAGACAGAGATTTGTAGAATGGATAAAAAAAAGAAAAACATAATCCAACTATATGCAGTTTACAAGACACTCACTATAGAACTGAAGACACAAATAAGATGAATGTAAGAAAATGGAAAAATACATTTCATGCAAATAGTAACTAAAAGGCAGCTCAAGTGCCTATCCTAATATCAGAGAAAACAGACCTTAAGACAAAAAGACTTTAAGACAGAAAAACATTATACATGAATAACAGGGGGAATACATCAGGAAGATAAAGTAATTATAAACACGTATGTACCTAACAAAAGAGTTCAAAATATATTAATATAAGGCAAAAACTAACAGAATTGAAGGGAAAAATACACAGTTCAACTGTAAAAGCTGGGAACTATAATAATTTATTGCAATAATGAATAGAACTAGACAGAAGATTAAGGAAATAGACAACTTCAACAACACTATAAACTGACTAGACCAGACATATGGAACGCAACAGCACAATATACAATCTCTTCAAATGCACAGGTAACATTCTGTGGGATAGACCATGTTAGGCCATAAAATAAGTCTAAATAAATGTTAAAGGCCTGATATAATACACAGTATGTTTTCTCCTCACAAAGCAATGAAACTGGAAACCAGTAACAAAAGGAAAATTCACAAATATGTGAAAATGAAGCAATACACTCTTAAACACAGCCAATGGATCACAGAAGAAATTACAAATAAAATTAAAAAATACTTTGAGGAGAATAAAAAAAATACACCAAAACCTATGGGATACAGCAAAAGCAGTGCTCAGAGGGAAATCTGCAGTTGTAAAAATCTACATTAAAAAGATCTCAACATTAAGGTTAGGTTAATTAAGGAACTAGAAACAAATAAAAGGCAACTGTATTACAAAGGAATGAAGTAAAATTATCCCTATTCACAGATGACATGACTCACGTATAGAAAATCCACAAAAATACTGGTAAAATACAAGAATTCAGTAAAGCTGTAGTATACAAGATCAATACATGCAAGTCAGTTGTATTTTTATGCCCTAGCAATGAGCAATATGAAGATGAAATCAAGAAAACGATTCCATTTACAATAACATTCAAAAGAATAAAATACCTAGGAATAAATTTGACCAAGAAGGTGTAAGATTTGTACACTGAAAACTACAAAATAGTGTTGAAAGAAACTAAGGAAGATCTAAATAAATAAAAGATATCCTATGTTTGTCAAGTGGAAGACTAAATATTTTTAGGATGACAATACTACCCAAACTGATCTACAGATTAAGTGCAATCTCTATCAAAATCTAATTGACTATTTTTGCAGAAATGGAAAAGTGAATCCTCAAATTCGTATTGAATGGGGACCCCAGAGCCAAAGGAATCTTGAAAAAGTAGAACAAGTTGAAGAACTCCGTCTTTTCTGATTTCAAAACTGAATACAAAATTATAGTAATCGAAACACTGTAGTAACAGCAAAAGCCTAACATGTATATAGATCAATGGAATAGAATTGAGAGTTCAAATATAAACCCATACATCTATGGCCAACTGATTTTCAACAAAGGTGTCAATACCATTTGATGAGGAAAGGATAGTTTTTCAACAAATGGCACTGGGACACCTGGATATCCACATGCAGAAGAATGAATTTGGATCCCTATCTTACACTATAAACAAAAATTAACTCAAAATGTATTAAGGGCCTACATGTAAGAGCTAATAATATAAAACATAGGGGATTAAAGGAGACATAGTGATAAATTTCATTATCTTGGATTTGGCAATGGATTCTTATCTACGATAAAAACATAAGCAACAAAATA